TTAAGAATCGTAGTGGCATACACAGTGTGATAAGGCCTGTTCTGGAAGAAAATGCCAAACAGGACCTACAGTACTCAGGAGGAAAAGGCACTCCCAGGACACAGTGTCTCATCAGTCATTGCTGCATCTTCAATAAAGGTAAGTGTCATTTATTCTTCATTTAGTAGAGTAGTACATGCACAATATATATTGTGCATGTACTACTCTACTATTGTGCATGTATCCTTCTCTTTGTGTGTAGGAAAATGTATATTTCATGTGGTAAAAATTTTTTTTTCATACTTTTGGGTGTCTTTCACGGATTAATTTGATTTCCATTATTTCTTATGGGGAAAATTCATTCGCATACCGATCATTTCGCATAACAATCAGCCCTCTTGCACGGATTAAAGTCGCTATGCGGGGGTCCACTGTATACGTTTCATTTGTCATTCATTCAACATTGGCATGATAGGCCTGAGTCACCTAGACATGAGAGAATGGGTGTGTGCACTCAGTGTGCACCATATGAAAAAAATTGGGGATGCCTGGGTACCACATGCTCTTTTTTCCTATAAAAAAAAAAATTCTCAAAATATTTGGGACGCTGCACAGGTGAACGTATATATACGTTTGGACCGTTTAAGGGTTAAATGTTCAATGTAGACTGAGTTAAGATACAGCAGTCATCCAACAATCATTACAAACTACTGATAAAACCCCCACCCCAGAAAGGTGGAATTAAAGTACAGGTACTCCTTACTTAACGACCCACCTGTTTAACTACCTCTCGGACTTGTGACCAGCTCTCCAACCAGTGTACTGTATGTGTATTTTACATTATTGTTTTTAATGCCTAGTTCTATTTTTAATACACTAAAAATGTTATAAATGGTGCAAAGGTGACATTAAAACAAAATCTAAAGATGGTTGACACAAAACCACTGCCAGTACAATATGCTTGAAATATCAGTAAGGGGCGGCACCTTGCTTAATGACCAATTCGCTTACCAACCTACTCTTAGGAATGGAACTTGGTCGTTAAGTGAGAAGTACCTCTAATTGTAGAAAACCTGGGACTAATAAAACTGATGCCTCACATTATTAAAATCTTTGAAAGAGCTTTAAAAAGCAAGATTGTTAACTGCATGGATTCATAACATAATGGATTTAAAGCAGGTCACTCCTTTCTCATGCAATTGCTGGATCATTATGAAATGGTTTTGGATGCACAGGAAGATGTAGCATAAGCAGACTTTGCAAAAGCCTTCACCAAGTGTGATCATGGTGTAATAGTGCACAAAATGTATGCAAAGAAAATAAAGAAAACAAAACTGGAAAAGTGGTCAGAGGGGCACAGCATTTAACTTTCTAAAGAATTGAACTCAAAGGGTAATTGCCAGCAATGTATAATTAGAAACTGCTGCAGTGCACTCTCCAATTCTTTCATTCTCATACCTGACGGACAGACAACTCAAAGTACCTCGTATATTATCCTTTGCAGGCAATACTAGAATTTGTATCTGAATGATATATTCATTGAGGATGCAGCATATGTATTTCCAAGCTGATATAAACCAGATTTTCCAGTTGGCCACAGAAAAAATATGATGTTGATTGAGGACAAATTTGAGTTTGTTGTGGAAAATTTTTAGAAATAAATAGAGATCAACCATCCCTAATCCGGCATCATTGGGACCTGTAGGGTGCTGAATTAGTGATTTTGCCAGATCACAGAGTGGTTAGGTTAGAATACACTTAACCCAGCAGCTAACCACCTCGTCCTGTCTATAAAATACCCCGTAAATCAGTACAGGTTGGTTAACAAAGTTAACCAACTTGACTTGCACAAGAAAGTTCATCACTGCCACTTCAAAGTGAAGAATTTACAACTAAGCACATTTACATGTCTTGAGGTGAAGGTTTGTCAGGATTGCCATCTTGAGGTGAAGGGCTGTCAAGATTCCCATCTTCACCTTGGAAGGTGAGTAACATACAGTGGAACCTCTGGTCACGAATGCTTCCAAACACTAACAAATCGGTTCACTACCAAAAAATTCGCCAAATTTTTTGCATCTGGTTACGAACACATAATTGGGTGTCGAACAAACACAGCTGCACCATTTTTTTCACATACACAAATTTTCCTCACTTCCTGTTGTTTGTATACACCTAACAAAGACCCTCGCCTTGTAGTTGGTCTTGGTCAGACGTGTGTTCATTTACTGTGAACTCCTTGTGCTGTATTTTGTGTGCTTTTGAATTCGTTTTGTTTTCTTGGTTGTTTATGGTATTTTTTTTCTCTGTTATTTAAGGTTTCTTCTCTTTTAAGGATTTTTCAAACTTTGATTATTTTTTCTGTGCTTAAGGGGCAGCTAATTAAAACTTAAAAAAAAAAAATTTACAGCGAACGGTTTTTACATTTAGTTTACTATAACACTGTGCATTCTATGGTATAATTAACTATTTTTGTGCTTAAAAATCTAAAAAAGAAACAATATTTACATACAGTTCGTAGGGGTCTGGGACAGATTAATTGTATTTACGTACAAACCGATGGGGAAATTAGGTTTGGGTCATAACCAAATTGGGTTGTGGCAAGAGTTTTGGAACGAATTATGGTCACGACCAGAGGTTTCACTGTATTAGGAACTGATGATGACAGTGGCAGCACATCTGGGTGAGCAGATGTTGAAGGTACTAGATTTTCAAATGGTGACCACTCTGTTGCACGTTATTTAGCTATTTGAACATATCTTGCAAGCTGAGCGGTTTCATATATTTTGGCCTTTGACTAGTTTATCCTGCAGCATGTAATTTGAAATTACACTGGCCAAAATTAGTGCCGGATTAGTGAGGGAACCAGATTAGTGATTGCCAGATCAGTGATGGCCAACCTGTACTGGAACATAATAAATAAAAAAACTCAAATCACTGAATAGAGTGGAAAGTTAATGTGAAGGACTTAGAAGTGAATATTGTCAGAAGATCTTGCATTTACAGATCATCAGTGTTTATATACAGTCACAACTATAAGGACAGTGACAGGCAGGATAATTGGAACCTTCAAATTGAATGATGCCAAGCCACTGTTCTCCTGACTCGAATATTGCTGTACACTAACAGCCCCTTTCGAGGCAGGCAAAAATTGCAAATCCGGAGATTGTACATAGAACCTTCACTGCCTGTATAAATCAAAAGTTCAGTATACAAAAAATCAGTTTCACTGCCTATATAAATTCAAGAATATACAGAGAATATTCACTGCCTATGTAAATTCAACAGCATTCAGAGAGAATTCTCTGCCTGTATTAGTTCAAGAATATACAGAAAACCTCAGCCCATATAAATTAATTATTAGTAATGCAACACCATACAAAAGGGGCATTTTAGTCGGTTCCTGATCTGGCTGATTGATCAGGTTGTCAACTGAGAGGTGTGGTCTGAGACTGTACCATAGGGGCAGTGACTTCTGGAGGTGTCTACAAGTAATCAACAAAAGGTAACTGAGCCTGTCCAAAGGGCTCAACACAAAAACTGATCAAAAATAGTGCAGAAATGTTTGGCCAAAATTATCTTGGTCTGGGGTCCTAGTTGGTTTGGAACTATTCTCTTTTCTGTTTGGAAGATACATTTTCTATCGGTGAATTCATAGTCTGTGAATTTTTTACAAAATGCATACCTCAGATACTGAGGAGGTATACAGCACTTACTTGTATTATTTTAGCAAGTGTTTTGGCTCTTTTCTAAGGTATGATTATCAAATTTGTTCTTTAGAGATGAAGTCTGCAGACAGGTATTTTCTTAATGGGTGTGCTACGTATTAGTATTGTTGTATTGTTCACGAACCAAGGTTAACAATATTTCTCACAGGATGTCTAAGGTACTCATAAAATGACTGCTGTATTTATTAACCCTTTCAGGGTCGAGAGGCCCTCTCCTAAATTTGTTCTCAGGGTCGAAAATTTTTCAGAATTTTTTTTTCTTATGAAATGATAGAGAACCTTTCCCGATTATAATGACACCAAAAATATGAAATTTGATGGAAAACTTATGGAATTATGCTCTCGCGAAGTTAGCGGTCTCAACGATGTTTACGCATCGGTGATATCGCCCACTTTGAGCCCTATTTTCAGCCAATTTCAGTGTACTAGTCGACAAAAATCATATCTATATCGCTAGAACTTCATTTTTTCAATCGAATGAGTACAAGAAACCACCCATTTACCGATTTCAAATATCCAATAAAGTGGTCAGAAATTGGCAATTTTGCCAATTTCACACAAATTTCAGAAAATGCCAATTTCCAAATAGGGTCCAGAATAAGCAAGACAGACATTCCTGGCACTAAAATAACATTTTCTCTGTTCATTAGTCACGTCCCCAGGCCCCTCTTGCATCTCTTTTGTTTTTCACTTTGAATTTTTATTCTCAAAAAATAGAAGATTTACTGTTATGCAGACTACTGCATTAGTGTAGAAATAGTATATATAATATCAGTGCACTTGTGAAAGAATATTAGACCCACCAGTTGATGAGTATTGGACGCTTGGCCTGATTTGTTAACTTTTGAAATTTGGTAAAAATCGAACATTTCCGCTACTTTGAGCTCAATTTCAAGGTACTTTTCATTATGAAACCAATCAAAATTATCTCTACTTCTGTAATATGTCTTCCATTCTATAAAATGAGACCAGGAAAGCTAGAATACAACCATAAATACCATATGAAAATACACTGCAAAGTCGCTGTTTTAAGCCAAAAACACTGTCAGAGTTTTTTTTTTCTCATGCACAGTGTGCTGCAGGATTTTTTTTTATACTGTGCACACTGACCACATAGACCCACTCTTTCATACGAGGGCCTAGGAGCTTTCTCTCACTAGATTTGAAGGCACTAGAATTTAGGCATTCTAGTACATCAATAACCCTGGTGTGTAATCCGTACTAGTACGTCAGAAACCCTGAAAGGGTTAATTATTATCACAATTGTATGTTATATCTTATTTGATTTATTTTCAGGAACATCACCTGCAGCAAGCCATCTTTCACCAACGAGTGATTCCGGTACCCGAAGTGTACGACTTGGGTAACAATGACGCCTCCGTCCTTGACAACATGTACCCTCTCAATTATAAGGTAATTTTCTAAAGTAATTTTGTAAAGTAGCAGTAGCAGTGTAAGTATGTCATAAAAGAAAAGGATGGTTTGACAAGGATATTTCAGTTTGATGTCTTTATGATTGTATAGTACAATACTGTATCTTATGTTTGCATATGGGACATGGAAATGAGAGTAGCACTAGATAATTGTGTAAGGGGCATAATAAAATAATTTAAAGAGCTAATATTATTTAATGATATAAGATGGGCATTATGTATTATATTAGATGGACATAATGTGTATTGTGTAAGATAGGCACCTATATTTTACACACTGGTAAATTTTCCTTCCTGTCTCAGTATTGATGTTATTAGATCCCAGTATTTTAGGGCAAAAATTTGTTTCTCTGGAATGTCTGAAAATATGAGAAAAAGGTATTCTTTACAAACTAGTTTTTTATTAACTGCCTTTGTAAGCTTGAATTTGCCTCTGTATTCAACAAACTCTTTCATAACTGGTAGTTGTGTTCCTGAGAAATCTGCACTTTACTGAAAAAAGCATTTTACAAAATGTATAACATGAGAGGAAAATATGGTTGCATTCCAGACACCTCCAGATATGCCAAGTAATGTTTTTTCAATAATATACCATGTAAAAATTAGTAAAGCTTATCTTATCTTATGTGCTAGTTGTTGCTACTTGTTATGGAAGTGTGTGTGGTGGTGGGGGTGGGGTTGGTATAGAGAGGATCGATGTGACACTACTGGGCTGAGATTGATGGCTATGATTCATTTGATGTTGTACTGGAATGCTTACGCATTCTGTAAGGCATCTCTGGTCTGTTTTACTCGGCAATACTTTATACAACTGATGGTAAGGTGGTGCTCCAGATCCCATGCTTCATGATGTGTCACTGTTCTATTCAGTGAAAAAGTTTGGAAAATTGCCAGTAATATAGAATTGCTGCAGTAACCATTGCAATGTTAAGTGTATCTCCAGGTTCTTCATCTTCTTTATCTGCCTTTCTTTTCCTGGGAACAGAAATCCTCATAATTCCTCAGTTGGTTCATCATCATCTAAAAGTTCATTTAAACTTTCTTTGTGCATATAAAAGCCCTCACATCTCACAGTCCTTGCTAAAGCCACAATTTCTAGCACTTCATGTCTTACAGAGGGGAAATCAGAGAATAGTATATCCAAAATTGTTTGATAAACACACACTGCGTAAGGTAGGCAATTCTCCCAGAAAGAAAACTGTAGGTGGCATGGATGGCAATGGAAAAGGAAAGGAGCTGTGCCTCTCCTTTGACTTTTAGTATCCCTTGAGGGAGGTTGCTTGATTCAGGTGAGGGAAGGGGGCCTCATAGTACAAGGAATTGAATCTTTTCTCTACTATTATGGATCATATCTGATTGCCTCTTATTTCCCCAGGTGCTGCTTGACTCCTATAGTCTTTTGTACTTCTTCCCTGAATATAATAATTGATCTTTAAGCCCATTTTAAGTCTGAGTGGAAGAAATTTATGCTGATTCATTCTCATTTTACAACACCTAGTATTAAAGAGTTTTTAGCATTCTGTGAAATTTCGGTTCCACCTTTTTAGTTGGGTTAATGCAAAATTATGCTTTGTGAGTTCATGCTGTAAGATTTACTGTAAATTCCTTCCTAAACCTGATATTAAGTGATTGTTTGTCTGTGATTTACAGACATGCACATTACCTGAACATCAAAGACTTGTTTGAACTTTATTGACTTAGGATTTGTAAAGAAATTAATTGAACCTTGTACTGTAATTGTAAAGCAAAGAAAAGCGAGAATTTGTTTTGGATTGTCAGTTTATAGCATTCTTGAATCAGTTCATATGGTTTTTGTATATAAAAATATAGAAAGATAATCAATATAATTCTTTATTTTTGTTTATTCCAGTAGAGCAATGTATATCAGATTCTTGGAAATGTTAATAAAAACTTTATTGGGAAAGTATAGTCTTAACAAAAAGTGAAACACCTATTATTTATAAATTTACTTCACTTGGATGATATACTGTGAATCTTAGATTGATATTGGTATATTACAGGCTCCCAGACAGCTGATCCACATCCACCCATTCTCAGCAGACCAGGACATCCCCGAATATGATATGGACTCGGAGGATGAAGCGTGGGTCAGTCAACATGCTGCTAAAGGGGAGGTTCCACTCACTAATCTACAGTTTGAGGAAATGATGGACCGCCTGGAAAAGGTATTTTAAGATTGAAATAATATATATACTTAATTTTAAGAGTAAGACGGAGAATAGGATAGCAGATGAACAAGGAGGCTTTAGGAAAGGTAGGGGGTGTGTGGACCAGGTGTTTACAGTGAAACATATAAGTGAACAGTATTTAGATAAGGCTAAAGAGGTCTTTGTGGCATTTATGGATTTGGAAAAGGCGTATGACAGGGTGGATAGGGGGGCAATGTGGCAGATGTTGCAGGTGTATGGTATAGGAGGTAGGTTACTGAAAGCAGTGAAGAGTTTTTACAAGGATAGTGAGGCTCAAGTTAGAGTATGTAGGAAAGAGGGAAATTATTTCCCAGTAAAAGTAGGCCTTAGACAAGGATGTGTGATGTCACCGTGGTTGTTTAATATACAGTGGACCCCCGGTTAACGATATTTTTTCACTCCAGAAGTATGTTTAGGTGCCAGTACTGACCGAATTTGTTCCCATAAGGAATATTGTGAAGTACATTAGTCCATTTTAGACCCCCAAACATACACGTACAAACGCACTTACATAAATACACTTACATAATTGGTCGCATTCGGAGATGATCGTTATGCGGGGGTCCACTGTATTTATAGATGGGGTTGTAAGAGAAGTAAATGCGAGGGTCTTGGCAAGAGGCGTGGAGTTAAAAGATAAAGAATCACACACAAAGTGGGAGTTGTCACAGTTGCTCTTTGCTGATGACACTGTGCTCTTGGGAGATTCTGAAGAGAAGTTGCAGAGATTGGTGGATGAATTTGGTAGGGTATGCAAAAGAAGAAAATTAAAAGTGAATACAGGAAAGAGTAAGGTTATGAGGATAACAAAAAGATTAGGTGATGAAAGATTGGATATCAGATTTGAGGGAGAGAGTATGGAGGAGGTGAATGTATTCAGATATTTGGGAGTGGACGTGTCAGCGGATGGGTCTATGAAAGATAAGGTGAATCATAGAATTGATGAGGGGAAAAGGGTGAGTGGTGCACTTAGGAGTCTGTGGAGACAAAGAACGTTGTCCTTGGAGGCAAAGAGGGGAATGTATGAGAGTATAGTTTTTACCAACGCTCTTATATGGGTGTGAAGCATGGGTGATGAATGTTGCAGCAAGGAGAAGGCTGGAGGCAGTGGAGATGTCATGTCTGAGGGCAATGTGTGGTGTGAATATAATGCAGAGAATTCGTAGTTTGGAAGTTAGGAGGAGGTGCGGGATTACCAAAACTGTTGTCCAGAGGGCTGAGGAAGGGTTGTTGAGGTGGTTCGGACATGTAGAGAGAATGGAGTGAAACAGAATGACTTCAAGAGTGTATCAGTCTGTAGTGGAAGGAAGGCGGGGTAGGGGTTGGCCTAGGAAAGGTTGGAGGGAGGGGGTAAAGGAGGTTTTGTGTGCGAGGGGCTTGGACTTCCAGCAGGCATGCGTGAGCGTGTTTGATAGGAGTGAATGGAGACAAATGGTTTTTAATACTTGACGTGCTGTTGGAGTGTGAGCTAAGTAACATTTATGAAGGGGTTCAGGGAAACCGGCAGGCTGGACTTGAGTCCTGGAGATGGGAAGTACAGTGCCTGCACTCTGAAGGAGGGGTGTTAATGTTGCAGTTTAAAAACTGTAGTGTAAAACACCCTTCTGGCAAGACAGTGATGGAGTGAATGATGGTGAAAGTTTTTCTTTTTCGGGCCACCCTGCCTTGGTGGGAATCGGCCAGTGTGATAATAAAAAATAATAAAAAAAATATTTAATTTTAGGTTGTTCCTTTGTAAAAAAAAAAAAAGACTAATTGTACTGGTCATTTCAGAAAAATCAGGCTACTTTAGCTTTGTGCTTAGTCCATATCATTGAGGTTTTGAACAGCTCTTATCACATTCACAGCTGACACCCTCTAGTGTCTTTACACACTACCTTATAGTTATTTTGCCTTCCTCTTTTGTTACTTCTAATCACCCTTGTCTTCCATGCCCAATTTTTACATAATTTAAGTGATATTCATTCAATATTTTATCTTTTAGTATTACCAGTGCTTCACAAAATATACATCCAAGAAAAAGGCAGTAGTCATTTTAAGGATTGTGAATGCAGGTTACCAAACTAATATTCTCCTTGTTAGGAAGTGGTTTCGTTTTGGTTACACATCTGTAACTAAAAAACAACGTACAGTGGTAAAATGTTCATAGACATAAGGAATATGTTTGTGGGGTAAGAGCCCCTTGCTGATGAATACTTAGTGAGGTGCACCATCAGGTGGGAGAAGCAGGCATGGTTGTAACACAAGTTTTACTGATAGTATACTTAATGCAGATTTCTCCACAAATAGTAACTGACTACTGGAATTTGTTGAGACATCTGTGGAAAGAACAGAGATTATCCATGGAGGCAGAAAGGTGACTGTATCAAAGTATACTGGTACCAACACTTTTTTATGGGTTTGAGGCATGACCTTTAAATGTTGCAGTGAGGAGGCAGTTAAAAACAGTGGAGATATTTTTGAGAGCAGTGTGTGGTGCAAGATATAATTCAGAGAGCTTTGGGGGGGTTGTTCAAGTGTTTTAGGCATTTAGAAAGGCTGAAGGATAGAATGAGAAAGAGGGTGTATAAATTTGAGGTAGAAGGAAGAAGGGGTAGGGTTGTCCCAGGAGCAGTTAGGGGGGAGGGGGTAAAGGAGGCTTTTAGTTTTAGAGGGCTTGATCACCCATCAGACATGTGTAGGTGTGCTAGATGGGAGTGAATGTAGACATGTGGTTGTTAATGAGTGTGCTTTTGAGTGTGAACACGGTAACATTTATGAAGGGATTCATGGGAACTGGTTAGCCAGACTTGAGTTCTGGAGGTGGGAAGGGTAATGCTGGCACTGAAGGTGGCCATACCTCTATATTGTCCTCATTATATCTAGTTGTTAGACCAAGATATGCTCTGTCAGTATTTTAATGAATAGCTGTATACTATGTATTACTTCACCTTAGTCATCTATATAAGCACTACTGTGGAGTAAGTTCAAGGTTGTACCCCTATTGTCCTTTAGTTCTTTACAGTGGGCTACAATCCATTTATTGTCTCCATATCATCCTTTCAACAGTTAGAATTTTCCTCATTTTTTGTTATTTATACCTCAAACTTTGTGTCTTTTTACCTGTTTTGTCTTTCATTTGTGTCCCATTACAAGGTAAGTAGTGACCACTTCACTTTTATGATAATCAAAGCAGCATGTTAATTATTTTACATTTCATTGAGTTTCTACCCATGACTTGTAGTTCTCAGAGAAAGTAAAATGTTAAATGTAAAACTACAATATAATTTTTTTTCTTTTTAGGCTTCGGGGCTGAAAGCTGTGACTCTGCAGGAGGCCAAGGTGCTTCTGAAGGATGATGATGATCTCATCATTGCCGTCTACGACTATTGGCTCAACAAGCGGCTCAGACTGGCTCATGCACTCATACCGCAGGTCAGAGTTGCCTACTATAATCCCAGTCATCACCAGAGGTAGTTTATTGTCCTCTTGGTAACCCTGTATTAACAATGGGTACTTAATGAGGTGTCATAGTTAACTAATCTGGTGGTATGAATTGAGTCTGAGTGAAATGATGCTTTTAAGGCAGACGAAAGTTTGCTTGCAAGAACTTGCAGCACATCTTAGAATATTTCACCATGGATGTCTTATATAGAACTCAGCCAAAGGTCAGTTTAGTTTGATGTGGTTAGATGTTACCCTACCATACTTTAAAAATATTTATTTTTGTACAGTTGATGTATAAAAAGCTATTTATTATTCTTTCTTTTGGTTAGACACATTATTCCAGATGTCTACTTGCTTTGCAGGTTAAGACAGAGAAGGGCTCAGGGTCAAACTCTAATGATCCATATGTGGCTTTCCGTAAAAGAACAGAGAAAATGCAAACTAGAAAGAATCGTAAAAATGATGAATCCAGCTATGAGAAGATGCTAAAATTGCGTCGAGACCTGTCTAGAGCAGTTACCTTACTGGAGATGGTGAAGCGAAGAGAGAAAGCTAAGAGAGAATACCTTAATTTAAACATTGAGGTGTTTGAAAGGAGGTAGGTTACATTCTTCATTGTTTGTAGGGTAGGAGAGAGAAATACTTGGCAGAAAAGGGTGTAAAATTCTTTAATGAAAGTGTGTTAGATATATGCAAATTTCTTTTTTTTTTTATGAATTTCTACACTCAATGACAGTACAAAAAACTTTTAATAATTATAATGATATACAATACTGACAAGTAGATGAGTAAGACATGAGCAACACTAGGCTATCTTTATTGTCAAAACAATTTCTTTTAGTTGAAAATTTTTGCCTTCTTAGTACACAAAATACTTCATCAATAAAGACACCCAACTGTTGCACAGTGTCAGGGAGCTTAATTGGCATGATATGCATGCATTTTAATTGAGGTAGCTGTTTGTTGGTCATAGGTAGTGTTACAAAAAACGCGATTCTAAAAGCTTAGAGATCTCCAGTGAATACTAGAAAGGACTGCCCTTCTAGCATCCAGCCTGTTACTGGGTTTTCGTAATAAGTAGTCAGTATCCTTGTCCAATTATTCATAAGAATTTCAGTAAGATTCAATAGTGCTTCAGGATTACAACTGGTAGGCTACTAACTAGAGAAATTAAAATTTAATAAATTTATTAAGTCTAGAGGTATATTATCAAATTAAATTAATCACAGCAATCAAAATAAAATCAATCTCTGGAGTTCAATATTATTGTGCTGAAAGCACATATCACATTCATAATTCTTAAGTACTGTCTGGTACATTAACATTTAATAAGATATTACAAATATGTACAAGTAAGTGTGTGTATGCGTGTAAGTGCTCTTAAGTAGTTAGCTATGTCTCAAGACTCGAATAAGACTTAAACAAGTGACTGACAAAGTCCTCAAATAAACTAACTTCTTGACCGACTGGCAACCCGAACAGTCTGCTTGAACAACAAAGAATGCTAAGCCCAATAGCAATGCAATATCAAGCGACTGCGACACAGAATCAGGAACTGGGAAATAATATAACGACACTAAGTTGGGACCATCAGCAGATCCTCCACAAAAGTTACAAAACTCCCATACTACTGAATCTATGTTCAGCATAGGAAAAACGCGACTGTAACAATACACAGAAACCAGTACAAAATTAGGTCAGAAGCTATAGCTAAGGACTTGAGATGTTCAGAGTGTCTATGTGACACACAACCTCAGTACAACGTCGAAAATCACAAAGTCTATACAATGTTCTGTGAACAAAGTTCTACAGAACTAACAAGAATAATGAGACGGACAATCTATCCAACCACCAAGCGAGTCTCCAGCAGACTGACTACTTCACGAGAGGTGAGGACACCCCCCCCTCGATCACGTGATAGCTACGTGGACAACTGCAGCTCAGAAGCCGGCAGTATAACGAGCGACAAGCGATAATTACAGTAGTTTGACAATCAAGACAACTGAGCACATTTTATATACATCCTAACAATATGTAATATGTAACATCCTAACAACATAAGCTACGTCAAATAACAATATAAGGCAATACATTTGCGATTTAGCTATTATCGCAAATATAAGCAATATAAAATTAAATGAAAAGGTAATATACATTACATATATACATAATAATCATCGTAACCCATTCAGGGGTTGCAACAGGTAGTTGTAACGATAATAAAAATTCAGGAGAGGGCATTGAGTTTCTGTACCTTTGTATTGGTTGCTGCATGCACTCAAGCTGAATATGTAGTGTAGTCTAGGAAATATTTATTGGAGATTACATTTTTTTTAATGTTATTTAAGCTTGCATTACTATTGATAAGCTGTTGCATATTTGAAGTCCCTTAATTTGCACTGAACATGCAAGTAGGTTGAGCTGGGCTCAAGACATGTCGAAAGGAGATAAAATTCCTGTTACCCATTTTTTATGATTCCTATTACAGCCTTCTAGGAATAGTCAGGTCATGGTCAGACTTTGTTTAGGGTTCTATACACATAGAACCCTAAGCAAAGTGTAACTGTTCTCTTGCCATAGTGTGGCAAGAGAATAGTTGATGGATCACTAAGAGACCAGATACTTTATAGGACTGTAACTCCTACACTTGTCGTCATTGTTTTCTCGTATAATTCTTTATCACTTTCTTCAATATGTAAATTTTCCTTACACTTTAAGTACTTATGCCAGTTTATTTTCCACAGCCTTGGTAGTTACAAAAGATTGTACAATTTTTTTTTTTTCGTAAAGGTTGGATGTTGCTTTCACAAAGAGGGCTTTCATTTTAGTGGTGTTCTTTGACTAGATATTCGACAAATTGTTTGCAGATGCCTTTATGGTGGAGAGATTGACTAGTCTGTCGGATGATTGTTGGTTATTCTTTATTAGATTATTAAAGTATAGTCTTAACTTATCGTTAAGGTTTTTAGATTTGGAGATTGGCAGTAATTGAAATAATGGATATAAAGTTTTACATGTAAAATTCTATATAAATGTTTTTCCTAATTTATGTGTAAAATTCTATATAAATGTTTTTCCTAATTTATGTATAACTCTGTGTGTAAATTTTTATTTCTTATTCTCATTAGGACTAATTTGTTGAGGTAGTAACTTCATGTATTATCTTCCCCAAACATTTTAACAGCCTTCAGGAGTACACTAATTAAATATTTTACATGTGTATTGAAAGTCATTACTTGGTAATGCATTAAAAGATTAATGAATCTTTATAAAATATAAATTGAAAAGTAGGATGAAAGAATCTTTAAGACCAAAAGCCATAAGTAGTGAGACAGTATGGACGAACAGTAGAGAGAAAGCTTTCACTTAAATAAAATTGTGAAAACAGAGAAAAGGAATCGAATCAGTAAAGGTGGTCAAAGAAAAATGCCCTCAGTTGGAGAAGGGCAACAGTAGCACAGTTCATAGGTCAGTGAATATACCTAATGATAAAATATTTCAAAATAATAAAAAAAAAAAAAAACTGTATTTTGCCATTCCCAGCATTCACTACAGAAATTTTGGGCCACCATTCATTCTGATTGGTCAGAAGCAGATAACTTACTAGGTTCTCTTAATTGTTTTTTGGCAAATGATACAAGTCTTTATTTTGCTCCATACACTATTTTTTTTATTTATTAACACACTGGCTGATTCCCACCAAGGCAGGGTGGCCTGAAAAAGAAAAACTTTTACCATCATTCACTCCATCACTGTCTTGCCAGAAGGGTGTTTTACACTACAGTTTTTAAACTGCAACATTAACACTCCTCCTTCAGAGTGTAGACACTGTACTTCCCATCTCCAGGACTCAAGTCCGGCCTGCTGGTTTCCCTGAATCCCTTCATAAATGTTACTTTGCTCACACTCCAACAGCACATCAAGTATTAAAAACCACTTGTCTCTATTCACTCCTATCAAACACGCTCACGCATGCCCACTGGAAGTCCAAGCCCCTCGCACACAAAACCTCCTTTACCCCTTTACTCCTTTACTTTGCAAAGATACATTTATACCTATGAGGATGGTGGGTGGAATCATGTACAATTCCTACATTGTACTGTTTTATTGTAGATGGTGTGAAATTTAAGTTTGTATTGAGAAAAATGATGAGTCAGTGATAAAAGTTACCATGCATCTGTGTTGTCATCAGCAGCTTTGTATAAAAAATGATTGGGACTACATTGAGGCTTATTACAACCCAAAGACTTTTATCAAGATCTCTCTTTCGAGATTTAACTGTAGTAAACTGAATATGTAAAATTGCTCTGTCGTCATATTTTTATAAATAGAGAATAATTTTCACTTTGAACAGTAGAAATACTGGTATTTGTAAGAAGTATGCATCTTCCCCTTTATGAACTTAAAGTAGGCATAACCCAAATGAGAGGAATATCAAGTAATTTTGTCTTGTTTTATAATAGATGCATTGCTGTAAGAGCCCAAGCATGTATCTTTAATAATGGGTTGCTTATTTTTTTATTCAGGTATGAGATGCAAGATTTTACTGGGTCAGTGTTAGCAGAGGTTAGTGCTTTAAGGACACAGCGACCTGCTTTTGCTCCCCTATTCTCCAATCACCAACTTTCATCAGGCACTACAGCCCCTAGTGCAACTTCAAGTGGATCTTGGCTAAAAGTTGCACCATTATCACATTCCAGCAAAGTGAGTAAGAAAAGAGTACGTATCCCTCTCATTTGTTTGTGGGCTGCTTGCTGGGGAAACTGTGTTGTTTCTGTATGATTTTTATGTTTCAGTAACATAGTATACTATGGGCATGCATAATTACTTAAAAGTATTTGTGATTCCCTATTCAATTTTGTGCTGGTGAGCTATAATTCTTGGTTCTGCCTCTTCACTTTCAACAAGTCAAAATGAGTGAGTCTTGTCATATCTATTTTTGAACCTTGTTTCAGTTGGCTACCACTGTAAATACAAGAAATACTTTATATGATTCCTGTGGTTCATTTGGGTGTGTAAATTCCATCCATGCTCTAGTTCTTTTACATACCTTGTAAAGAGCTCATCTTTGTCTATCCTGTCTATAACAGATAAGAAAAGCACACTGCCTTGTAATATTCTGTCTATGCTCTAGTATTTTGTATGCCACGGTCATATCCCCACTTGTTCTCTTAAGTAGCATAAAGCCTAGCTCTGGTGTTCTTTCTTCATATCTCATTTTCTTTAGCTCAGGCTTTATGGAGCTCCACTAGTTAAACTCTGTTATTCTAATTTTTCATCCCTAATTTTTTTAATCTCAAGTGCTCACCTATTTGTACTCGCCTGTTTGTGGTTGCAGAGGTCAATTCCCAGATCGTGGCCCTGCCTCAGTTTGCCACTCTTCAGATTCACCCCTTCTTAGCCTTGTGAGCCCTATCATACTTGCCCTTAAAACTACATATCAAGCATGCCTCCACCACTTCCTCTCCAAGATCATTCCACTTCCCTGAATACTCATGAGATTGAGGAAATACTTCCTGACATTCCTATGGCTCATCTGTGCCTTTAGCTTCCAACACTATCCTCAAATTCTCGTTTCTTGCTTCTCAGAGTCTCTCCCAGTCAGCCTTATTAGTTTCCCTGAGAATTTTGTATGTTGTTATTGTCTCTCCAGGTTCTTCTGTCCTCCAATGTCATTAGGTCTAATTCTGTTTGCCTTTTCTTGTAGCTCAGACCTCTTAGCTCATTAAGAAGCTTTGTTGCATACTTCTGCACTTCCTCCAGTTTGTTAATGTGCTTTTTCAGGTGCGCATTCCATACTGGTGTTGCATGCTCCAAGATGGGCCCAATGTATGTTGTATAATGGGCCCAGGATGACTTTGTTGAGATTCCTGAAGGCCAGTCTTTCTTTACCTTTTATCCCAGCTTACTTCTCTAATTTGCTAAGTAGCCATCCATGTGGCACCTTAACAAAAGTCCTCTTGCAGTTTAGAAATATATAGCCCATCCATTCTTCTCTTTTCTGTCTGATCTCTGTTAATCCATTGTGTTTTTATAAGGATTGCGAGGCATGACCTTCCATTTCTGAATCCATACTGATGTTCTATGAGCAGTGTAGTATTTTAATAAGATACTCAACAAGTCTCTTCCATATGATCTTTTTGGGCAATTTACACATGTTTTCATTATACAAATCTGTGTTTCAAAGCTTTTTCCTACATCATATTTCCTATCATTAAATATCTGTAAGATATGTGAGAGTGCCTTGCACTGTATTTCAGCTCCTCTTAATATTCTTGGTTATATTGTCTTTGGTTTTGATAACTGTGAGACAATTACTAGTCTGTAATTACTTTGGTTTCATCAGGAGTCCTTTCACTTCAGTATTCATTGCAGAGGACGATGGAAGTTTTTTTTTAATTAAGGAGTATAGGAGCTAGTGAATTTTTAAGCAAGATTTGAGTTCTCAGATAATTTGTCTTTGGATAAATGAGTTTGTTCTTAATTTGTTTCTCCACTTTATTAAAATATTTCAGAGCCCTCCAGAAATTCAAATTCCTTTTCTTACTTTTCACTTATGGATTTAATATTTGGAGTGATATCTAAACTGTCATATCTGGGCATCTCTGCAAATACAGTGATTTTTGTGTGAATGATGGTGAAAGTGTTATTTTTTGGGGTTACTCTGCCTTGGTGGGAGACTGCCACCCTGTTGAAAAAAAAAAAACACTTAAATATTTGACGTATTTTCCTTCCATTTTTATTACCTCTTTCATCTGTATGATACGATTTTAGTAAATATCTTGATGCTCAGTTTAGGTAATTATTGGATTAGTTATTTACATGCAGATCAGTTTCACGTGAAAAAAATTAATGTGAAAAACAGTACAAATAATTAATGATTGTGAGTGCCATTCTTAATGATTGCTGTTTACAGGAGGATGGGAAGCGAGAGCGAAGATCTTACAAAAAGCGCCCAAGGCGACATCATGGACAATTATCTTCTTCAGCATCATCTACACCCCCCACACCCCAGCTCACTCCCACATATACACACCCACCTGACCCTTATACCATTGCATCAGCATACCCACAGGTAAGAACATAAGAACATAAGAAAGGAGGAACACTGCAGCAGGCCTTTTGGCCCATACTAGGCAGGTCCTTTACAATTCATCCCACTAACAAACATTTGACCAACCCAATTTTCAATGCCACCCAAGAAACAAGCTCCGATGTGCAAGTCCCTCTCAAATCCAACTCCTCCCACTCATGTACTTATCCAACCTAAATTTGAAACTACCCAAAGTCCTAGCCTCAATAACCCAACTAGGTAGACTGTTCCACTCATCAACTACCCTATTTCCAAACCAATACTTTCCTATGTCCTTTCTAAATCTAAACTTATCTAATTTAAATCCATTACTGCGGGTTCTCTCTTGGAGAGATATCCTCAAGACCTTGTTAATATCCCCTTTATTAATACCTATCTTCCACTTATACACTTCGATCAGGTCTCCCCTCATTCTTCGTCTAACAAGTGAATGTAACTTAAGAGTCTTCAATCTTTCTTCATAAGGAAGATTTCTAATGCTATGTATTAATTTAGTCATCCTACGCTGAATGTTTTCTAACGAATTTATGTCCATTCTGTAACATGGAGACCAGAATTGAGCTGCATAATCTAGGTGAGGCCTTACTAATGATGTATAAAGATGCAGTATGACCTCTGGACTTCTGTTGCTTACACTTCTTGATACAAATCCCAGTAATCTATTTGCCTTATTACGTACGCTTAGGCATTGCTGTCTTGGTTTAAGGTTGCTGCTTACCATAACCCCCAAGTCCTTTTCGCAATCTGTATGGCTAAGTTCTACATTATTTAACTTATAAGTGCTAGGGTTATGGACACTCCCGAGCTTCAGAACCTTGCATTTATTTTTCTGCTTTTGTACTTTCTACTGTTTATGGTTAAAATTTCAGCAGTTGACATATACAGTTTTGAATTGTGTTGGCTTCAGATGGCCATAATTTAGAAATAATTCTTAGTAATTTTTTTTTTTTTTTGTGTTAACACATCGGCCGATTCCCACAAAGGTAGGGTGGCCTGAAAAAGAAAAGCTTTCATCATCATTCACTCCATCACTATCTTGCCAGAGAGGGTGCTTTACACTACAATTATAAAACTGCAACATTAACACCCCCTCCTTCAGAGTGCAGACACTGTACTTCCCATCTCCAGGACTCAAGTCCGGCCTGCTGGTTTCCCTGAATCCCTTCATAAATGTTACTTTGCTCACACTCCAACAGTCGTCAAGTATTAAAAAGCATTTATCTCCATTCACTCCTATCAAATACGTTCATGCATGCTTGCTAGAAGTCCATGCCCCTCTCGCACACAAAACCTCCTTTACCCCCTCCCTCCAACCCTTCCTAGGCCTCTTATGGAAATTTATTTCATCCATTTTAATATTATAAATCATGAAAGTAAGGACGATACCAAGGGACTGAGAAATGACATTTTTTTTTTTTTCCTCAACAAGTCGGTCGTCTCCCACCAAGGCAGGGTGACCCAAAAAAAAAGAAAGAAAATCCCCAAAAAGAAAATACTTTCATCATCATTCAACACTTTCACCACACTCACACATTATCACTGCTTTTGCAGAGGTGCTCAGAATACAACAGCTTAGAAGCATATACGTATAAAGATACACAACATATCCCTCCAAACTGCCAATATCCCAAACCCCTCCTTTAAAGTGCAGGCATTGTACTTCCCATTTCCAGGACTCAAGTCCGACTATATGAAAATAACCGGTTTCCCTGAATCCCTTCACTAAATATTACCCTGCTCACACTCCAACAGATCGTCAGGTCCCAAGTATCATTCGTCTCCATTCACTCCTATCTAACACGCTCATGCACTCTTGCTGGAAGTCCAAGCCCCTCGCCCACAAAACCTCCTTTACCCCTCTTTCCAACCCTTTTGAAGACGACCCCTACCCCTCTTTCCTTCCCCTATAGATTTATATGCTTTCCATGTCATTCTACTTTGATCCATTCTCTCTAAATGACCAAACCACCTCAACAACCCCTCTTCTGCCCTCTGACTAATGCTTTTATTAACTCCACACCTTCTCCTAATTTCCACACTCCGAATTTTCTGCATAATATTTACACCACACATTGCCCTTAGACAGGACATCTCCACTGCCTCCAACCGTCTCCTCGCTGCTGCATTTACCACCCAAGCTTCACATCCATATAAGAGTGTTGGTACTACTATACTTTCATACATTCCCTTCTTTGCCTCCATAGATAACGTTTTTTGACAACACATATACCTCAACGCACCACTCACCTTTTTTCCCTCATCAATTCTATGATTAACCTCATCCTTCATAAATCCATCCGCCGACACTTCAACTCCCAAGTATCTGAAAACATTCACTTCTTCCATACTCCTCCTCCCCAATTTGATATCCAATTTTTCTTTATCTAAATCATTTGATACCCTCATCACCTTACTCTTTTCTATGTTCACTTTCAACTTTCTACCTTTACACACATTCTCAAACTCATCCACTAACCTTTGCAATTTTTCTTTAGAATCTCCCATAAGCACAGTATCATCAGCAAAAAGTAACTGTGTCAATTCCCATTTTGAATTTGATTCCCCATAATTTAATCCCACCCCTCTCCCGAACACCCTAGCATTTACTTCTTTTACAACCCCATCTATAAATATATTAAACAGCCATGGTGACATTACACATCCCTGTCTAAGACCTACTTTTACCGGGAAGTATTCTCCCTCTCTTCTACATACCCTAACCTGAGCCTCACTATCCTCATAAAAGCCCTTTACAGCATTTAGTAACTTACCACCTATTCCATATACTTGCAACATCTGCCACATTGCTCCTCTATCCACTCTATCATATGCCTTTTCTAAATCCATAAATGCAAAAAAAACTTCCCTACCTTTATCTAAATACTGTTCACATATATGCTTCAATGTAAACACTTGATCTACACATCCCCTACCCACTCTGAAGCCTCCTTGCTCATCCGCAATCCTACATTCTGTCTTACCTCTAATTCTTTCAATTATAACCCTACCGTATACTTTTCCTGGTCTTTTCTTTCAACAAACCGGCCGTATCCCACCAAGGTGGGGTGGCCCAAAAGGAAAAATGAAAGTTTCTCCTTTTACATTTAGTAATATATACAGGAGAAGGGGTTACTAGCCCCTTGCTCCCGGCATTTTAGTCGCCTCTTACAACACGCATAGCTTACGGAGGAAGAATTCTGTTCCACTTCCCCATGGAGATAAGAGGAAATAAACAAGAACTAGAAAGAAAATAGAAGAAAACCAAGATGGGTGTGTACATATATGTTTGTACATGTATGTGTAGTGTGACCTAAGTGTCAGTAGAAGTATCAAGACGTACCTGAAATCTTGCATGTTTATGAGACAGAAAAAAAGACACCAGCAATCCTACCATCATGTAAAACAATTACAGGCTTCCGTTTTACACTCACTTGGCAGGACGGTTGCTGTCTACCAACCTACTACCTAGGACTTTTCCTGGTATACTCAGTAAACTTATTCCTCTATAATTTTTACAATCTCTTTTGTCCCCTTTCCCTTTATATAAAGGGACTATACATGCTCTCCGCCAATCCCTAGGTACCTTCCCCTCTTTCATACATTTATTAAACAAAAGTACCAACCACTCCAACACTATATCCCCCGCTGCTTTTAACATTTCTGTCATGATCCCATCAGTTCCAGCTGCTGTACTCTTGACAGTATAATCAGTTACTGAACTGCAGATGAGAAAAGCTGACACAAGATTAATGGGAATCAAGGAACTGGTTTTTTAATTAGAAAATTGTTGAACTGCATTTTCAAGCTTGAGGAGCCAATTATTAGAGTGGGCTTCAAGTGTTCATCAGATAAATTTGTGCGACATTTGGACTTGACATACTTCATTTTTGAAAATGTTTGTTCAGAAAGGTACAGTGTACCAAAAACTGATGTGAATCCACAGGCCAATCACTTCAAATTTGGAAACTGCCCAGGCTGTAAAAATTTATTAAATTGGATGAAATTTCCTTCTTTTTACTTTTCTTTTGGTATGTCATCTAATTGGAGATCAAAAATTTCTATTTGAAACTTGACTTGGGAGTGTTTCAACACTGCAGTCAAATGGATTTTGAAACTGCTTCATTTCATCTGTTTTTATATCAAACTCAGAAAATTGTTTTTGAAAATCATTAATGATTTCTGTTGCAAATGAATAGGGAAAGTGCTTCACTTTCTTCATGAAATTTTTCACAGCGTGGGAAATGAAACAAGTTAAAAACTTTCACCTGTCCTTCAAATAGTATCAGTTTCGCCCTGAATGCCTTGACACACGTAAATAGATCATTAATCAAATTTGTTTCATCCTGCAACTTAAGATTCAGTTGATTCATATGGCTTGTCACATCTGTAAAAAAATGTCAGTTTCCAAAGCCTGTCAGCATTTGATAAAAGTGGTTCAAGTCAATTCTTTTCTGTGAGAAATGAATCGATTTCCTTTCTAAGCTGAAAGAACCATGATAGAACTTTACCACAACTAGGCCATCAAACTACTATATAATGAGGCAAGTCAGTGAACTCAGAATCAGTTTCTTTCAGAAAATCATGAAACTGGTGCTGATTAAGCCCATGAAATCGAATGAAATTCACTGTTGAAACAACAGGTTTCAGAACACAAGACATCTCCGCATATTTTGTGCACAGTGCTTGCTGATGGATAACACAGTGCAGAAACATGAGCATTGAAAATCCATCCTCCTCACAAGCTTTTGTGATTTGTCCAATCAGACATTTCTTCACCTAGACATGTTCTTTCCTCCATCAATTGTCACACATTGCAATTTATACCATTCCAGGTTATATTCTAATAAAGTTCTCTAGAATTCTTTGAATATGTCTACTTCGGTTCCTGTGCTGTTCATGCTATGCATCGATGCTAATTCTTGTGTGGCATTAAATTCATTTTCAGCGCCACAGATAAATACTAGGAATTGTGATGTGTCACT